AGTCGTGGCCCTGGTGGACACAGGGAGCAGCCAGACATTCATGCGGGCCGACTTAGTGAGGCCAGCCCGCGAAGAGGGACCACCCATAAGTATGCAGTGCATGCATGGGGACGTCCGTCCCTACCAAACGGCATGGGTCCACTTGGTAGAAGGGGAGGAAGTGACCATTTGCAGGGCAGCCTTGGTGCCCGGCTTAGCCTACCCCGTTATCTTGGGGTGGGACTGGAAGGGTGTCCGACGGATATGGCAAGACTGGAAGGCCCCAGGGGAGGGGGGGAAAGCCTGCATCCACAGGAAGCTGCCAGGGTGAGGTGGTGAGGGCCAACGAGCCCCCAGTCCAGTGGAGGCCCACCCCAGCCACCCGGGGGCAGCGGAGGGGGCCCATCGCGGAGCATACCAGAGGCGGACGACGACCTGGAGGGACGAGGTTTTGTGGAAGCACAGCAAGCTGACCCGGCCCTACAGTGAGCCTGGAAGTCAGCCATTGATGGAGACGAGGAACCGGCAACGAGGCGATCCCCGGGACCCCATTTTGAGGTTCGCCGAAAAGCTATACTAGGTCGCAGAAGGTACAGAGGGGGCAGTGAGCATACGCCAGTTGTTAGTCCCAGGGCAATACAAAAGGGCAGTCTTAGAGTTGGCCCACGACAACCCCTGGGCAGGACACTTAGGTTTCGAGAAGACCCTGCAATGTATCATGCAGAGGTTCTATTGGCCCAGCATGCATAAGGAGGTGCGAGACTTTTGCAAATAGTATCCTGCATGTCAAAGGACCAACACAGCAAGGGGGCCCAAAGCCCCCTTGGTGTCCTTAGCCATCGTGGGGGTCCCCTTCGACTGGATCACCCTCGACCTGGTGGGCCTGCTGGACAAATCACGCAGGGGACACCAGTACATAATGGTAATCATAGACTATGCCACCCGCTATCCGGAGGCCATGCCCCTCCAAAACACCACAGCGGCAACCTTAGCCCATGAATTAATGGAGGTATTCTCTCGGATGAGAATTCCCTGCGAAATTTTGACAGACCAGAGTACAAACGTGACGTCCTGTTTAATGGCAGAACTATGTCGCCTCCTAAAGGTAAAGAAGCTGAGGACATCGGTATACCATCCTCAAATGGATGGCCTTGTAGAACGCCTTAACAGAACTTTAAAGTCTATGTTGCACCGGTTCGTAGAGGAGGACCTCTGGGACTGGAACTGACTCCTCCCTGTGCTATTTTCGCAGTATGGGAGGTGCCCCAAGTGTCTACCGGGTTTTCCCCGTTTGAACTACTGTACGTCAACCTAGGGGGATTTTAAATGTGTTACGAGAAACCTGGGAGACGCAGGGGCCCCGCGAGATAGGGGTGATACCTTACATACTACAACTGAGGAAACGGCTACAGGAATTAGGGGAGTTTACCCGGATTAATTTGACGCGAGCCCAAGCCGCACAAGCATTATATTACAACCAGAGGGCCCGCATTAAGGTCTTCGAGCCGGGGGAGAAGGTGCTCCTCCTACTACCTTCAAGAGAGTCAAAACTGATGACTAAATGGCAAGGGCCTTTCACAGTGGTGCGTAGGGTGGGGAATGTGGATTACGAGGTCCAACTAACAGGAAAATGCGAAGATTCTCAAATCTACCATGTAAACCTACTGAAAAGGTGGAAGACACGAGAGCAGCTCTTGGTGAACCCAGTTCCCCCTGAGCTGGAGTTGGGCCTTCACGCGGACGCGTTGGGGACATCTGCCCCAAAACACCTGAGCGACGAACTAGACCCATGACAAAGGGACGATCTCCACGAGCTACTGCGGGAGTACCCATCAGTCTTGTCCATCCAGCCCAGAAGGACCACCCTGATGAGCCACCACTTCGCCACACAGCAGGGTAAGATAGTACACAGTGCGGTGTGACCCCTCCCAAGGAAGATGTGGGAAACCGTCAAGGGCGAGGTGCAGTCGATGCTCCGATTGGGCGTAATAGAAGAATCCCATAGCGAGTGGCGTAGCCCCTTGTTCTCATCCCCAAGCCCGACCGCTCGCTGTGCTTTTGTTTAGACTTTCGTAAGGTTAATGTGATTTAGAGATTCAACGCCTACCCCATGCCGCAGGCCGATGAATTGCTCAACTGGCTGGGGAAGGCCCGGTATATCTCAACCCTGGTTTTGATGAAGGGGTTTTGGCAAATTCCCCTTACATCAGCCTCGAAGAAAGACAGCCTTTTCAACCCCATTCGGACTTTACCAGTTTGTAACAATGCCTTTTGGGCTCCATGGGGCAGTGGCCACGTTTCAGAGGCTCATAGACAGGGTACTAAAAGACCACCACTATTATGCTGCCGCATATATCGACGACATAGTCATGTATAGCCTCTCCTGGCAGGAACATCTCCGGCATCTCAGGGCCATCTTAGAAGCGTTGAGCAAAGTCGGGCTTGCTGCTAATCCAGACAAGTGCTGGTTTGGACAAAGAGAGGTGACATATCTCGGATATACGGTGAGGGGGAGGGGCCAACTGTGACCTCTGGTCGATAAAGTCAGTGCCCTGAGTGATTATCCAACCCAGTCGACAAGTTCCGCCCACAGTTCTATGAATTAATGGCCTACCTGCCAAAGTCAGCAAACCCATCCTGATTCACAGGGCATGGTGGCCCAATGGCCAGAGTTAATAAATTTGTCCCTATTTGAGAGTCAATGACTCACCCCTATTCGCAGGACAGCGTGGCCTAGTGGTTAGGATCAATAATTTCTCCGGTTTGGAGGGCAGATGTACACAATAGCAAGAGTCAGTAACTCGGGAAAAGCTCTGACTGGCGTCAGCTCACTTACCAGGTAGCTGTTGCCTTCCCCTAGGTTACTTCTTGTTGTAGCTGTCTTAGCTTCAGTGCGGATCTCTGTCTCCCCTCCCCTATCTGGGGTTTGTATGCTCCAGTTTGCCTTTGGATCCTGCGAGGTCTTTGGAAGTGTCTGGCCTTCAGCCTGTGTTGTAGTGCCTTAGCGTCTCGAGGTGGTCACTGCTGCTTCCCTGGAGCAGGCCATGTACATCCTCTCCCTCCAGCTGCCAGCCCCAACTGAGCTGAGGTGTTCTCTTCTATATCTTTGCAGCTTGAGCATGCCCAGTAAGATGAAGGGGGTGTGGCTTTCTCATACTTCAGAGCTGGGTTAATCCCTTCTTTTTAGGAAAACAAAAGCACATCCAGAATATGGAAAGAAGTGGGGGTTTCCAGTGTTTTGCTTTATATTGGGTTTTTTGTTTTGGTTTGGTTTTTTTGGTTTTTTTTTTTTTTTTGCTTGAACCACACAGTTAACTCTAATCTGCCCATCGGATCACAGAGTTCTACTGGCGTAGTGCAGAACTATACATGTCCCAGCAGGAACACTGGAAAACAGTGAAATAGGCACAGTGAAATAGGCGTTCATCTGCACAGTGGGTCAGTGGAAATGAGCTAGAAACAAATATCCCATCTGAGGACACTTGAGAGGGTGCAGGCTCTACCACTAGCAGAGCACAGTGCTTGTAGTTATGTCCACTACTCACTCAGAAAGCACCAGGAAAGGATGGCTCAGACACACATAAAAAATGTGGAGTTGATGCCCACATGAAAAATTGCAGGACCACATGATCAATGAATTGTTCATGCACCTTTGGCTCTCTCACATGCCTCTGATTGCTAATTCTTTCTCCCCTAACACCAGACTATTACCAACAGCACAAATATCTGAAGCTTCAGGGGGTAGCCGAGTTAATCTGTTACAGAAAAAAAAACAGCAAGCAAATGGTCTGGTAGCACTTTATAGACTAATAAAACATGTAGATGGGATCATGAGCTTTCGTGGGCATAGCCCACTTCTTCAGATGACCAGAGTTATGATTATAGGATAAGGAAACTGGAAATAAATAGGAGAAGGGAAGTAGGGGTGGGGGGGGGGGGGAAAGAAAAATGTTCTTTTGCCCCCCCCCTACCTCTATGCATAAAGTATCAGGAGAAAGGGTGCTAAACCTGAGTAGATAAAGATCAAAGTCAGTGGATGGATGAGGCAGGAAGGATACCATTCAGACAGTAGTTAGCACCCTCATTGATAAAGATTCCACCACCCCATATCTTGATTAAGTCCAGAATTAATTGAATTGAATTTGCATATGTATTGTAATTCCAAGCTTTCCCTGTAGATTTGGCTTGAGGAACTGGCCTGTGACAAGACCGTCACCTTCAGATCTGTGAGATTATGGTTAGGTAAACAGAAATATCTGAGTAACTGCACATGGTTGCTAATTTTTAGTGAAATACCTAGAAGGTTGCTACCTTCCTTTTCATGTGGAATCTCCTTACAGAAATTACACTGCCCCAGGCCTGTGTTGGGCAACATACAGGACTGAACTAAGAACAGGAGCTTTATGTCACTGGAAAGAGGAAATTCCTGAGACTCCTAATGAGGTTACCAACACTTGTATCCTATCCTGAAAGGTCCAAAGTTGAAAGGCTTTTAAAGATGTGACATTTTTAGGTATTGAAAATGTATTTTAGATCATTCTGAGAAGTTTTTACTGGTTTCCTCTGAGCCCAGAACAGTTGGACTCACAGTAACTAAGGCATCTGGCTTTACAGGTGAAGGGAACAAAAATAGCCCCAATATGAACACTTTGCAACATGTATGGCATACTTTGCCTGTGGTATATGCCAGATGATGTAGTATAGCATAAAGTGTCAGCATTAACTGGGTTTGAGCTTTGTGACTTTACCACTTGTGAATAATGAAGTATGTGCATTCATGCAGATTGACCCAAAGTATAACATCACCATCATATATTCTGTCTCACACGATCATATACACAATGTAGGTCTAAACCAGCCATCCTTCCTGCCTCACAGTTATTTGTATTTCTCTTTAATTAAATCAGTCTATCATGCTTTTATCTTTCTGGTTACTAGATGCCCAGAAATGAGTGCAGTATTTCAGTATTTCAGACCCACCAAATAAGTCTTCCAATGCTTCTGCTCCTAGAGGGGCGCAGATAGTTCTGCGTTACCCCAATAGAACTCTATGAGCTGATGGGCAGATAAGCATTAACTCGGTAGTTCAGGCTGAAAAAAAAGTCAATATAAAGGAACACATTAAGCCCTCTCCCGCTCCCCCACACACACTTCTTTTCATATTCCAGGTGGGCTTTTGTTTTTCTAGAGAGAAATCTGAAATAATGGGCATTTCTAGTGTACAGTTCTGAAAACTGATTATTGCTTGTCTCTGTATATGTTCTGCATAGAAAATGGGAAGTATCTACAAACTGTTCCATGACGTGAAGGTACAAAGAGTCCAAATTTCTATGGACCTCTTCTACTGCCACATTGTGCTGAATATTTTCACCTCAACTATTTAAATTCTGGTGTAACTAATTTCCAGGTTCCTTCCTCCCATTGACTATCTTAGGGTATGTCTACACTACAAAGTTAGTTCGAACTAACGAACGTTAGTTCGAACTAACTTTCATAGGCGCTACACTAGCGCTCCGCTAGTTCGAATTTAATTCGAACTAACGGAGTGCTTAGTTCGAACTAGGTAATCCTCATTCCACGAGGATTAAGCCTAGTTCGGACTAGCTAGTTCGAATTAAGGGGTGTGTAGCCCCTTAATTCGAACTAGTGGGAGGCTAGCCCTCCCCAGGTTTCCCTGGTGGCCACTCTGGCCAACACCAGGGAAACTCGTCTGCCCCCCTCCCGGCCCCGGATCCCTTAAAGGAGCACGGGCTGGCTACGGTGCCCGTGCCAGGTGCAAGCTTGCCAGCATCCAGCCAGCAGACCCTGCACCTGGCACGGATCGAGCCACCCACCCGATGCCCCCCAGCCCTCCCCCCCTTCCCGGGACCAGGCTGGCGGCTCCCGGGAGCTTGCCCGGGACCGCAAGAGGCGGGCACCCGCCTGGGCT